GTAAACACGATTAATCCGATCTAGCTGCGTACTTCTGTACATTATATTAATCCATCTAATTGTATTCCTTGTTCTTTTTCATTGTATTTAATCACAGGGCGGACCCATTGTATCCTAATCCTTTTCTTTTCTTTATATTTGATCACAGGGCGTACCTTTTGTAAACTACCTCGATTCCGTGTACCCGACTTTGAATAAACCTTGTTCCTATCATTGTAAACCACATTAGATATTTGTCCGACTTATTTCCGATCCCTTCCAAGCGATTAACTCTACTAAGAAATTAAGATCTTTTCCTCCTTTCCTCTCGACGGCCCTGGAGCTGAGCATATTCGGCAAATAAGGGGAACGGAGGATTCACTTTACCGACACACAGCACGTCAACACCGGAACTAGAACACTAACTCTTCCACCTGTCAATCAGAACCGCGTGTCTGATATTATTTTCCGTTAAATATCGCGGGGTAATAACGTCTTTCAGAGCCCGGTCCGAAATTCAGCACCGGGAAGAGTTAAGCTTCGTTACATGGCGCCCGAACAGGGACCTGCTGGGTGAAAATTTTGTAAGCCTCTATACGGGGTGAGAATATAGAAACAGATCGCTTGAAAGGGAAATAAGTCCTTTACCGTTAGGAAGAGTCCGTAACCCCGCGTGGAAATACCGTTTAGGAACCGCGAGTAGAGTTCCCCCCCCCCCATAGGCATAATGAGCGTTCCTTCAAGAGTGTCATGGGTATATGCCTTATCCAAAGATCGAGTACAACTCGAATTAATAGAAAAGGAGGTCGACTCCGAAGGGCATTTGGCCAGATTACGGCAGAGATTGGTGGCGTACATACGATCGCACCCGGAGGAATATCAAGATAAACCAGAAGACGATCCTGGATATAATGAAGAAGATGACCGAACCCGCGACATGGAGAGGATGCAAGCCGAGCTAGACCAACTCAGACAAGCGCAGAGACTGCAAGTCGAGCTAGACCAACTGAGACAGGTTCGGCATTCCACACCAACAAACGATCACAGCAGAACAGACGATACAAAGATCCTCGACCAGATGAGGAAGTGGAATTGTCACTTTGACGGGCGTGACCTATACACATTTCTGGAGCGAGTCGAGGAGTTGCAACGCGCCTACTCACTGACAGATGAGCAGTTATTAAAAGGGTTCCCAGAATTGCTTCGTGGCGAAGCACAATTGTGGTTCCGTAACTTCCAGACGGAATACACTACCCTTAAGGAATTGAAAGCCGGTCTAAGAAGCTTCTATTTGTCTCCAGGCGAGTTACGCCAGCTAGACCGACAGATAAATGACCGTAAACAAGGCGCTAGCGAAAAGATTCGGGCATTCACGACGTCCATCATGACTCTGATTCGACGTCGAGGGGATTACACTCCTGACCAGCAGCTCGATGTCATTTATTACAACTCGCGAACCGAGTACCGGATGTATATCCCCAGATCAACCGTGCAAACCGTCACCGAGTTAATCCAGAAAATCGAAGAGCTGGAAGAAACCAAGAGACAGCTCGAAAACGAGAAGATCAGGCAAGCCAGAAGCCAAGAAAATTGTACCTCAGCCGCGAACATCACTAGCCACTGCATACGACAGAAAGACCTGCTGTTGGAAATGCAAGCAAAGAGGCCACGACCGTTTCCGATGCAAAAATCCGGCAAAGAAATTCTGCTCCTATTGTGGCGCCGACGGGAAATTGACGAAGGAGTGCCAGTGCCAGAAGCCGGGAAACGCCAAGGGGGCCGGCGACTTGGGAAGTCAGGACCGGCCCACGCAAAATTAATAACGACCAGCGAGAACCGACCGTTCGTGACAGTGAAGATCGGCACGTCTAAATGCACAGCGCTCATTGATACCGGTTCGGTAAATTCATACTGTAGCGAGGAGACGGCTAAAATCTGTCGCCAAGCCGGATGGCGCCAGCAAAAAGAAAACCGAATCGCAGTCCTGGCCGACGGTACCGAGAGCGCTCTTCATAGCAAATTAGCCGGAAATCTTAACATAAAGGGCATTCCCACGGAGCAGACGCTCCTGATAATGAAAAACCTAAGTCACGATATCCTGCTGGGCATGGATGCCCTGAACAAACTAGGAATCAAGATCACCCTCACCGAACAAGGGATCCACAACGGAAGGAGCAAGACGGACATCAGCTCCGTGGAAAATCCAGGCGGACTCACGCACCTGAGAAAAGTCGAGAAAACCCGGCTCGATGCCTTCCTAAAAAGCGAAATGGAGAGTTTCGGGGACATTAAAGGAAGCACTTCTCTTATCCGGCATGAGATAAGGCTGGAAGATCCATCGCCTATCAAACAGCGATATAGGCCCCGAAACCCGGTGATGCAAAAAATCATCGAGGAGGAGATTGAGAAGATGCTAAACGAGGGAGTTATAAAACCCTCGACCAGTCCCTGGAGTTCTCCTATCGTTGTTGTCCCGAAAAAAGACGGCAGACCGCGTCTATGTATTGACTACCGGAAACTGAACAAAGTCATCCGGAAAGATGCTTATCCATTGCCGCAAATCAACGCGACATTGGATAAGCTAAGAGGAGCAAAATACTTGTCGACAATCGATTTAAAAAATGGGTACTGGCAGGTACCCCTGACGCCAGAAAGCAAACCTTTGACCGCTTTTACCGTTGCGGGGAAGGGCTTATTTGAATTCAATGTAATGCCGTTCGGCTTACATTCCGCACCGGCTACATTCCAAAGATTACTCGACCAGGTAATCACACCAGAACTACTCCCAAACGCCTTCGCATACCTGGATGACATTGTCATAGTTTCCAAGACGTTTGACGAGCACCTCGAGACCTTGAGAATTGTGTTCGAGCGACTAAGGAATGCCAAACTCAAGCCGAATCCGGAGAAGTGCCAATTTGCCCGATTAAAATTAAAATATCTCGGTCACATAGTCGACCATAACGGCTTGCATGCCGATCCAGACAAGACCGCCGCCGTAGTAAATCTCACGCCGCCCAGAAACGTCAAAGAGATCCAGCGCTTCATGGGACTTATCTCTTGGTACCGACGTTTTTTGAAAGACGTATCCAGTGTCGCTGCCCCGTTACACCGTCTCCTGTGCAAGCGAGCAAAATGGGAATGGTCCGAAACGCAACAAGCAGCGTTTGACGAAGTGAAGAAGTTATTGACGAATGCTCCAATATTATCCTGTCCAGATTGGAGCCAGACATTCGTCCTTCAGACCGATGCCAGCCAAGAAGGGTTAGGCGCCGTACTTACCCAGCAGATACGCGGATCCGAAAAAGTGATCGGGTATGCCAGCCGGACACTCACCAGTGCCGAGAAAAATTACTCGGCAACCGAACTAGAATGCCTTGCAATCAAGTGGGGCATCTGGAAATTCCGCGATTATTTGGAAGGGTATCACTTCGTCGTCCTGACAGACCATCACTCGCTGAAATGGTTAAATTCCATAGAAAGTCCTACGGGACGACTGGCTCGTTGGGCGCTAGAATTAGGGCAGTACGACTTTGAGATCCAGTACCGAAGAGGCTCCGATAATTTGCTCGCCGATACGCTATCAAGACAGCCGCTTGAAGTCTGTGCAGCGGGGGTACCGACATCCGACTGGTACAGCCGAAAGTTCCAGGAGGTAGAAGAACATCCCGAATTAAATCCAGACTACCGCATCGAAAATGGCCAGCTCCATCGGCACATTTTGCATACGCTCGACTACAATGACACCCCCGAGGCACAGCAGTGGAAGACTTGCGTTTCCGGCGACCAGAAAGATGAAGTTTTACAAGAAAACCATGACGACCCGACGGCGGGGCACTTAGGCGTCGCCAAGACCATCGTACGCCTAGCAAAAAATTATTATTGGCCTGAATGTTCCGGGAGGCCGCACAGTACGTGCGTAATTGTAAAAACTGCTAGAAGTTTAAAACCGAACAACGAAAACCGCCCGGAAAGTTACACGCACTTGATGTCAAAGAACCATGGGAAATAGTAGCCGCCGATTTAGTCGGACCGCTTCCAAGATCAGAAAATCTCAATACGTGGCTTCTGGTCTTCCAAGATAAATTAACCAAATGGATCGAACTACATCCGCTGAGAAAAGCCACGGGAAGCGCGGTTGCGAAGGCCCTCCGTGAGAAAATCCTCCTGCACCATGGTTGTCCACAAACATTAATCACCGATAACGGCCGGCAATTCATCTCATCCGACATCAAAACCGTTCTCGAAAAGCATAAAAAAACGCACCGTCTAACACCGCCTTATGCTCCTCAGTGCAATCCCGTGGAGAGAGCAAATAAAGTTATAAAAACTATGATTGCGCAAACTATCGAAAAGTCGCAGAAGAAATGGGATCGATTCATCCCGGAATTGGCATATGCGTATAACACTACGCATTGCGAATCGACGGGCTACACGCCGGCCTATCTAAATTATGGCCGAGAATTACGATTATCCGGAAGCAGCGGGCAAAAACTGTAAATACAGAGCAGGAAGATCCCGAGACGCGAGTCAAGCAAATGCGCGAAGCATTGGAACTCGCAAGAATTAAATTGGCGCAGAGTTTCCAGCGGCAACAACACCATTATAATTTCCGGCGCCGAGATTGGAAGCCCCGAGTTGGGGAAGAAGTATTAAAACGGACGCATGAACTATCAAGCAAAGCGGACGATTTTAACACCAAACTCGCAGCAAAATACGAGGGTCCGTACATTATTCACCGAGTGCGATCGCCTGTAATTTATGAGCTGAAAACCACCGACGGCAAGAATGCCGTGCTGCGCGTACACATACGCGACTTAAAATCGATAAATCGATAAAGGGCCTGGTTTTCCCCCGAATTATGTCCGGAACCTGTATTTCCCTGAATTACTTCCGAAGCCCGTACTTCTCCGAATTCACCGACCGTTGGCCGCTCTGCCCCCTCCCCTCCACCCACGCGCGCTCACTATAAATTTTCACGAACAGGACGCGGAAAATCAGTGTGACTCCGAACTTCCGAAATGACGGACCCGACGTTAAGAACGCCGACGCTCCCACGGAAGATCGCGCCTCCAGCCAAGCCGCCCCTAGCCGGGGTAACACCAAGCCGACCACCGGGCTCCAGGACGAGGCAGAACGACGCGGACAAGTTCTGGCAGAAAATGACGACCCGCCGTATCCGCAACAACCCGGAGATGATACGACGCGGGCTCACGGGGCAGCGACGACCACCTGAAAATATTCCGGTGGTCGATCTTTCCGACGAGGAGAAAGCGCCGCCAATCGACGCCGCTCCTTCCTCCGCCCCGGTCACCGGGCCCACCATCGAGATTATTGAGGTGTTTCCACCCCACACCTTTCGGCTGGTAAAACCCCCGGGCACGGGGAGAAGTTCTGCCGTCTCCGCAGCCGGGGCCGCTGCCCCAGCTATCACGCCCAAAGCAGCCGCCAGCGAAAACGTGCCCATGGCCGTTCCGGGCCCTAGTGCGAGGGCCACCCGCACCGCCGCCCCAACCGCTCTGTCCCTCGCACCAGTGACGAGCAACGCACCGGCCACCGCTACCCCCGGACCAATACCGGCCACTACACAGAAGAGGATGTTGCCGCGGATGCCCCGCGACCCTTTCTGCGTAAGGCCGACGACACCGCGGGAAGAGCGGGACGTAGTTGTGGACGGATGCCTGATCCGGGTGCCCATCGGCGTTAAACGCTGGCGCACCCGGATCGGCAAAATTAAGTACGTCCTCCGCCTCGACCCAGCGACCGGCACAGTGCGGCATTGGTCGAAGCGCCAATTGCCATAGAAAACTATAAGTAAACATTACTAAAAGTAATTTCGAAGAGCGAAAATCCGGAAATTCCGCTCTCCGAAAGAAGGGGGGGTGTAACGGAGGCAGCCGGGGAGGCGCGGCCGGTAGTAAAAAAAACCGAAATTCCGGGAGCACGAGAGAAGGAAATAGAGCCGCGGTTACCATGCCAACGAGGAACTGGCAACGCCGCGCCCGCCCCGGCCGTCTCTACCCCGCGCGCCCATGCTCCGGAGGTATAAAAGCCCCTCCGGAGCCGGCGCTTTAACTCAGTCATGCCTCAGAGCTCCGAGCGACGACAGTGGGTACCTCCACTGCGGTATACGCCGATTTCACGGGTGCTCCTGTCCGTCGGCGATATACAATACCGGAACACACGACAGGTGGAGGCGCTGCTCCGTCGTGTGCCCCAGTCCCTCAGTAACGTACAAGAACGGGGTGCTGCCCGATGTACACAGGTTACTATTCCCGTACCGGTCCCCTGTATTCATCCCTGGCTCCGTCCCCCCCCCCCCCCGTAATTGCAGGCACCTCCGCAA